TGATTCTATGATTCTATGATTTTGGGTAACCGTTTTCTGAGCCTGTAGTATCCCAGTATGGTGTGTGCTTGGTTTTTTTTATTTTTGTTTGGTTTTGTTTTTCTCCTTTTTCATGATGGATTTCATGCACTGCCAAACTTTCTGCTAGAAAAGGTTATCCCACTGTAGTACTACACTGTTGTAAAGATGAAAATGAGATTAGATGAACTCCTAACAGCATAGCTATGATTTCTCATTTCATAAAAGAATATAATAATTATTATTTCTTACAAGTCTTGAATGGGTATTGATCACTTAAAAAAAGGATAGATGTATTTGTTAGTAAAGAAAATATTTCTAACTACCATTTTCTTAAAAAATCTCACCAGAATGTTGTTAAGCTATTTTTGAGGCCTCAACGCATACGTCAGGGCAGTTTGTTTTCTATCAGTAATGATAAAAGAATTATTCTAAATCATGGATCTCATTTCTCTTACACTCACTGACTACCAGCTTTCTGTCTCCACAGTCTACTGGCACTGGCCAAAAACCCTGCTTTGCCTCTTCTGTTGTCAGGCAGAGTTTTTCTGGATATGTCACCACCCCACTAATTTGCCATCTGCCCTTAAGTCATTAAACCATGTGTTTTATTCCCAGTTAGTTTCACCTACCAGTGTGTGTATTTGTCTGTCATCTTGTCCTATCAATGCTTTTTTTTAATATAACTTGTGTAGAAGTAATATGAGGATAGAATTGCCCTGATGTTCCCAGAAGTATGGATGTGTGCTAAACATTTCTCAGATTTACAGGAAAATCTTTCTTTATCTCTATTCTAACTTTGTTCTTAACATTTCTTTTGAGATACTTCTGGTGAAGAAAGGATTAGAATATATCTTTTAAAAAAAGAAGTCTATTCAAAAATTTACTTGTAACACTGTGGGCTGGAAAATTGCAGTGAGAGGATCTTCCTGATGTATTTTATCTTGTCAAAAAAATAAAATATTTTAAAATTGTGTAACTGTTCTTTCCAATTTCTGTAAGACCATCCTTTTTATAGCAGATATTGGAAGAGCAGAATGCAGTTTCAAATGTGGGAAGCAGGACTATATTTCCATTCAGACTGAAGAACCTTATAAAACTTAAAAATGAGGTTCTGCATATTACAGAATTCAACTGAAGTAACCAAAATGTTTTTTACTTAAAAAAGGCTTTTCATAGTAAGTTTTCTATTTTTGCCACAAAGAAAAATGGCTGGGATAGTTCTTATACTTCAAGGGTTGCAGAGAGCTGTGTATTGTAGAGTGCTGTGTATCTGAAGTTTTCTGTTCTTATTGATTCTGTGCTTATAAATGTTACTGTTTTGTCATACAAAAGCAATTTTATTTTGAAATTAATTTCTTCACTAATGTAATGCTTAAGTAGCTACAAATAGCAAGTATCTCAGATTAGCTTCTTTAAATTGAGATCTTGTTATTTAAACAAGTGATAATTATCATGTCTCCTCAAATATTTAGAGAGCATTTTTCATGACTCCATAATCATTGAAAGTATATACATTATTTGTAACTCCTGTGTGTGTAAAAAAACGATGTATGGATATCAGTAAAGGAAGTAAACAGTCTGGGCTTGAAAAGAGGTTCTGTGGGGAAGTCTAAACTGAGCAGTCTGTATAAAAATAAGAGTATAACTGACATGGAGGGAGACTGATCGTAGGTAATATTATAATTCTGATTCTGGACTAATCACATGCTGAATAGGTTTTGAATCTGCAGCATAATCTGACTACTAGCATCCACTTGAGACAGCGAAATGGAATCTTCCTTGAGAAGCTTCTAGTAATAGGATTAATGGTTGTGAATGCAGCATAGAGACAATTTACCCTAACAGATAATTAAGTTCAAGTAAAATTTAAATAATGATTTTTTAAATTACAATCTGCAGCTGTTATAAAACATCAGAAGTTAGTAAGATAAAATGCAGTCCACTTGTGTGAAGTGTTTTATCTGAAATCAAAACACTTAATTACTTCTATGTACATTTGTATTCGTTTAGGGCTCCTATGCTTCTTTTAGTTACAACTCTGCATTATAAGTGTCATCAGAAGTGTTACATGAGTATTTTAATTAGCACCTATTTTGTAGGAAGTATTTTCCTTAATATGTCTTGTATTGCATTAACAGACTTGCTGAATGTTCATCCTGTTTTTCAGGTCTAACAGGATTAAAAAATATTGGAAACACGTGTTACATGAATGCAGCTTTACAAGCTCTTTCCAACTGGTAAGTAAAGTGATAGTAAATGTAATTTTACATCTGCTTATGCCTATATTCTCTCTAGATGGACTTAAGGATTTTCAAGGGCTGCAGTACCAGGGAAGATGTGTATTTGTTAAATATCAGTCTTATATACTACAAACAATTGCATCACTGATAAGAAAAAAAGTATTAGAATATGTGGGCTACTCCAGCTTTTTCCCTGTTACATTCTAATTCCTCACTGTTCTACATAAAAAACTGTGCAGTTCTAGAAATTGGAAGAAGAACTGATAAAAGCTATTAAATTTGTGTTGTGTTTATTTTTCTGCTACAAAGTAAATCAAAGGAAATGCATTAGAATAAATCCTTATTTAAAAAGAGATCATGTTAAGATCAAAAGGTCCAAATTTAATCCTTGCAAACAGTGCATGTGGGACATTCTATGCTAAGTCATCCTAGGAATGGCTAGAATACAGGACCTTGTCATCCCAGGGGAGTGTGAGACAAGTTCACAAAGGAGAAATCTACAAAAACTGACAAGATAAAACTACTATTCAATTCAAAATTTTCATGCACTAGAAATGGTGATGCAGGGAGAGTACTTGAGCATATATCTCATATGTTTACTGTACACATATGCTTTTGGCTGCAATCCAAGACAGGATAGAGGGCTAAGTAGACCTCGGAGATATCTTTTGTTCAGGGAGAGGAGAATTCAGGCAAATCTATCTGGAAGGTAAAATAGACAAGGCATCTAATAATGAGGAAATGATTCTGTTGAGAAATACCAAATTTTGCAAGTGTGCTGGGATAGCTCCTTTCTTGGATAGAAGTCAGTCCAATATGTATGAGGGGTGGTGATTTCAAAAGTAGGGTTGAAGAGAAAGAAGTGAGACAGTATGTGAGTTGGCATGAGGTAAATAGATAAATACTAATTTAAGTATTAATTATTTACTACCTAGAGACATCACATGGTGCTATTGAATTTTAGAGAGTAAAAAAGATTAAGATGCTATTTATGGACTAGGCTTATGGTGATTCTTGCTGTAGTGGTACATGTGTATTCCTGTGATGGCTACTACCTATTTCCTTGGTTTTGAATCCCATTAGACAATTCTGGTGCTTTAACAAATGTCAGAATACATCTGAGGAGCGGTGTTGCTCTACTGCTGAAGTTGTCCTACTAGGAGACATTTGGTTGTGGCATTTAAGGATGTAGGAAATTGTTCAATAGTTCAATTGTTCAAATAGTATTACTTTTTTTAAGAATCTTCTATGAAACGTGGATTTGCTCTTGTATTTTGACAGCCTGAAATAACCTGAAAAATTACTCTTGTCTTCTTTTTAATCAGCCCACCATTGACGCACTTCTTCCTTGACTGTGGAGGCTTGGCCCGAACAGATAAGAAACCAGCAATTTGTAAAAGTTACCTCAAGCTGATGACAGAACTCTGGCACAAAAGCAGGTATTCCATCATTTTGGTGATGAAATGATTGTAAGTAAACTCCAGAGTCATGAAGGATGCATTAATCTGTCCTAGGTTTCTAATTTTCATTTTGTGTATATCACAGAATTACTTTTATAAATTAAGGAAACACTAACTTGCAGGATTTAATCACTCCTTAACATCTGTTCTTTTCCATATCTGCCACAGGTAAGACAATTGATGTATCTTGTAGTAAGGAAGGTCTGACAAGACATACATGATAAACACTATGCATGTAGCATTAAGCTTTCAAAAATAAGTTTATATCTGCCAGAAATACATCCAAGATGTATAATTACTTTCTTTTCTGTCCTTCATTCTGCACAATTGTTCTATCAGTTTCTCTGATCTCCTTACATGAAATTTTTGTTATCTCTGTCTAAGAAAATACTTCGAAGTTTAAGTATGAAGGTAAAGAAACAGTAATTTTATCTATGATAGTTGTGATAAGTGCCAGGAGTATATCTGATTTGTCATCTAATTCTCTGACAAATGTGGCATAAGAGGTCTGATACAGTCTCTATTCTGTGAAGTGACAAATGTATAGTTAATAATTCAATACTATTATTATGTTTGATTAATATTATTTGTGCTGGATGTGTTATAGTTCAGATGAAGGTGAAATTATGATCCCAGTAAAGATAGAAAATTCCACTTAAATGCTTGCTTTTAAAATGTATGTTTACGTATTTTAAACTTTCTTCTTTAGACCTGGTTCTGTGGTTCCTACTGGTTTATTTCAAGGAATTAAAACTGTTAATCCAACATTTCGAGGCTACTCTCAACAGGTAGAATTTTCTGATATCTTTTAAATCTGCCTAAGCCATAAAGTTATCTTTTATTTTTAAACCTAATGCTAAATATATCATGCTTCCTATATTTGTTTAAAGCAAATGCAACATAAACTTTATATGCTTCAAATGTAGATTGTCTGAAACGGAGCCATCAACACTTAAGTCAGGTTTTATGTTTGTTATATCAAATTCTTGAAAGGCCTTGTTAAACAGGCATGGAGTATTGCATAGTGAAGGCATTCTTCAGTTGATCCTTCATAAGGTGTCTTGCTGCATTCGTAGCATTTGAAGTACATTATTAAAAGCTTTTGGGTTAGAGGAAAAAATTAAATTAAAATTAAAATTATGTCATTAAAGAAGGTTACTAATATCTTCCAAGAACCTACTGTTATTCAAAGGAATTTTACTGTCTGAGCTAGCATGTTTCATGTTTGTGGAATGGAGGGCAAGAATGTATTTTTACATTCAAATGCTACATGTAGATGTAAAGTAAATGGTTAAATATAATCTCAGTGTTTTTTAATTTACTCATGAGTTTAAGAGCAACATGAGTTTCTAGAAAAGTAGAAATTATATATTGAAAACTGAAAGGAAACTGTATGGAAACTCGGTTCTCACAGTGTTGAACAGTGATAGGAATGTTTTTCTGTGAAGAACAACACTTAATGAGAATCTTTTTAGCTTCTGCCTGGATCACACTGGAGTTTTATGTCTAGCCGGTTTTATGGAAGCAATTAAAATAAAAAGTAGGTTTTTCATGACCAGCACACTCCTATTGCCCATCCTTGCAAGGTGGGCAGCCAGTTGGACAGCTATGTTCAATCTTCAGGGAGAAAAAGGAATTCCTTTGCTCAGTGAAGAATGTTTACTACTTAATCTGTGTCTCAAAGTTTGAGCAATTTTTTTTTTTTTACGGATTACCAGCAAATAGGCATAGGCATATTAGTTTTTTTTTCCATTGCCCAAGTCCAAAATGCAAACACAATTGTTGTAGGTTTTAAGAAAAAGAATGTTTTATAGTCAGCAGTTTTGAGTTTAAAAAGTAATTGCTATGAAGGATGGGAATGTTGAGCATCAAAAATTATTATGAAGAACCAAAATACAGAAAGGAAAACAGAATAAAATAGAAGTAGTGGTAGATGCCAAGAAGAGGCTATTGTTTTCTCTCATGCTTGCTATATTAGATATTGTTCAGTGCTAGGAACCAAGCTGCTGCATGGATTATTGAAACGTGGTGGCTTGTAAGATATTTTCAAACATGGATTAGACCTTCAGTAATATTTGACAGCTTTGTGGAAACACTAATAGTTGAGAAATTTTGTCCAGGTTTGAGAAGAATAATTAAAACTTTGTTTGACAGTGTAATGCAATTGGAAAGTCGGGGTAAGTATTACATGATAATACTTCTCAATAAAGAATATTGCGTGCCAAGTGAAAGCAAGCTGTGGTTGCTTAGCTGAAGATGCTGCATAAAGTTTTTTAAAAACTGTCCCTAAAATGTTCCAGTACCAGCAAAGCTGGGATCTGATGACATTGTTGGTAGTTGCTTGAGCTACATTTATTATTCATGTAAGTTATAGCAATATTTTGGTTTAAGTTGTTGAAATAAGCTTATTGGGAGTTGAAGTGTTTTGAAGGAAATTTCTATGATAAGGTTACTTTCACAGGCAAGAAATGGATGCAGGAAAGAAATACATGGTCTGGAATGGAAATATCTTTTGAACATTAGACCTGGGACAGAAAACTTTACCTTATTCTTCTTCAAGAGCCAGCTGTAGTTTTTTTTTTAGTTATCTGTATGTTTCTTGATATGACTTCATCTTCCAAATATAATGGAATAATATTGTAAAACTTGTTTAAAATCCTAGGATGCACAAGAATTTTTGCGCTGTCTGATGGATTTGCTTCACGAAGAACTTAAAGAACCAGTTGTAGAACTGGAAGATGCCCAACCTATGAGTGTTGAAGAGAGTATGGAAGAAGACAAGAGCCAGTCGGATGTAGGCTTTCAGCCCTGTGACACCTGTGGTACCTGTGATAAAACAGAAAATGACAATATTTTCAAACCTGTGTTAGAGGATCCTGCAGAGACAGCCATGTTAATTCAGGATGATGACAACAACTCAATCACATCCAAAGACTGGCAGAAAGAAAAAATATCAAGCAACAAGCTTAAACGAGCAAATTCTATGGAAGACCTGGAAAAAGACACAAACACTGCATCAGAGACCACTGAATTTTTAAATAATCAAGGAACTGTCAAAGTACAGATACACAGCAGATTCTCCGGTAATACATTCCTCATGTGCATTTTAAATAGTCAAATTCTTAGCCAGAATAGCTGTGTGAGTGGAAATGAGTTGTAGAATACACTAGAGAGGCAATAGATCAAATAGCATAGGTGGATTTACTTGTAAACAATGTATCTTCTTAATTTATGTTTTCAGTTTAGGTGTTCTGAATTCAAATTGAATTCCCTTGGAAGCTAAAGATTTATACTGGATAAGATTTCAGATAATGGAGAAGAGTGGTGGTTTTTGGTTTTGTTCTTAACTTAAAATGTATGTGAAACGAAAGGTGCTTCATTCCTCAATGTCCAGTGACTTGACAGTATGGTTAAATAAATTATATGACCATTGTGTCTGTTCATTCTGCAGTAATATATATGGTAGAATTTAAGAAATAATACAAATATTAATTGCAGATTACATCAATGATGTCCACATGAATGATATATCTGCAGCCCAAACCCCATTATCAAACGAAGGGATGAACACACGCTTATCAAACAGTCCTCCAAAATCATTCTCATCATGCTCCTCACTGGCAGCAGTCCACAAGAAAGGTATAGACCCTTTATTTTCTCCCTCCTGGTGCTGAATTGCTCTGTGTTACGGTTCTCATTTTGTCGTGTCTTGCACAGCAATGCGGTGCTGTTCACAGGGGGTTTTTATCCCCTACCCCTAGTGGGGAGAGGGAGGATTATGTAAGCTGGACATATGACATAAGTCTCCCTTTACTATCATAAAATTCTGAACCTTTTGAAGCATCAATAGTATTTGTCTCGCTGTGGGAGGGTGGAGTAACGTTTTTAGACAACTCTCTCTGTTGCACCGGTTTGCACCGGTTTGAAGAGTGAGGAAATGTGAGAGACATAAGTACCACGAGAAAGGTAATGCTTTGCAGACAAGCACATCTGCTCTTCAGCAGAAGTTCAGCAATGTAACATCTTATTCTGTTAAAGTTTAAGGAGCCGTGTGTACCTACACCCTAGACAGACTTGTAAATGTTAGCTGTCTTCTGGTTTTTACTGTCTCTGCAGTGTGTAGTATTTCTTTTGGCACTTTCTGCTATATTTATTTATGCATTATAAATTTATTTGTATTTATTTATAAATGTATGTATTTATCAGCATTAAGGATGTTCAGATGTCTACTGCTTTTAGAGACAAAAGAGTGCAGCTTTAGGGCAAAAGTAACAATGTGTAATTCCCCCCCTCTCCGCTTCCCCCTCCTCCCCTTATTTGTCTAACAGCAGACTATTTTAATAAATTTTCTTTTGGAACATGCTCTGAAGGCTAGCATTAAACCAAACCAAACAAAAAAACTTCCCAGAACTTTTAATATTGTGATCCTCTTTCATTCAACAGGCTGTCCATGATAAGTTCTAAGAATGTTCATGTTATACTTTTAAAGCTCTAGCATTGATGCTGAATGAGAATGTCTTAATGGACTTGAGTTATTGACCTCCTTTTTCATTTGTTCAGTGGTTTTGACACTGCATCTGTACTACTGTCTCAAATCTTAGCTTTACCATTAAAGGAGGATTTTAGACAAAACAAAGTGTGTCTCATTGAGGAGGTACTAGGTAGGTGGAGCCTGTCATGCCCAAGGAGAGGCTGAGAGAGCTGGATTTGTTCAGCCTGGAGAAGGAAAGGCTAAAGGGGAACTGTTGCTGACATCAGCATTATGGGCAGTTACAGAGAAGGCAGAGCCAGACTTCTTGAAGCCATGCAGCAAACAAACAGAAGCACGTTGCAGAAAGGAAAATTTCTATTCGATGGAAGGAAAAAAATTTTCACAAAGAGTGGTTGCATGCTCATTGAACAGAATAACAGGGAACAGAGGCAGCAGCCCAGAGTACTGTGAGGTTCTTGGAGATGAATATTCTAAAGTTCAACTACAGCTGCTTTGAGGAGAGACTGTACCAGCTGATATCCAAATGTCTCTTCCAATGTAGACTACTGATTTTTGTCACTTCCTAGTCATTTAACTCTTGGTCATCTGTATTGAGGGAACAGATATGTACTTAGAACTGACTAGAGGAGTAGTGTGGCAGCCATTTGCAAGCTCAGTTGTTTTTTTAATTCCCCATAATGCCAGGGGAATTTCCTAGTGTACTAGGGCTTGCATTCTAGGGGCTAACACCTAATTACAACACACCTATTCCTTTCTCCTCTTCCATTTCCCCCTAGCTGAAAGCACACAGTGTCTGTTGGGTGCGACAATTCCAAGATGCCCGTCTGTCAGTGTCTTCCATTTCTTCCTGCAGTTTATTAATGTGGATAAATGAAGCATATCCTCCACGTCACTGTGTAAATAGAGACGTGAGAACCATCTTAAAGCAATTTAGTGACAGAAATAGTGATTGAAAGGAACTTTAGATAATTCTGAGCAAAAGGCTCTATGAGGAAGTTTATGTCCATGATAAATATATCTGATGTATCGTGAAAGTTTTTCAGGTTGCTTCTAGCAGACATTCTTTCTGCTGGAGATACTTTTGAACTCAGACATTTTTATTAGACATCTTTCTAGGTACGAGATGATACAGAGACAATGTAGAATACTGCTGTCCAGTAAAGAGACGAGTACTTGCTTATGGGCAAATCTTTTACATACAAAGGAGCCTTTGGAGGTTGTGTTCTACGTGAGAGATCTATTGGAGTAAATCAGTTTCCTCCATACTGTAATTATTTCCGTGTTTCACTGCTTATCTTGTTATTGTCTATCAGCATTTTGGCAGTTTGCCTTTGACTCCTACAAGACTTATGAGTGGTCACTTTGGTAATATACTAATTCCAGAAGAGTTTTTGTGGTCTTCATTTTAGCCTACCATTCCAGTAACTTGTAGAGCCCAAGAGACTGCTCTGGTGTTTTTACCTAGTTAGTAATGGATTTGGATGGGGAGTGCATATTATTGGCTTGGAGTTTTACTTGATTTTTTTTTTTTTTTTTTTTTAATAAGCTCCTGTTAGACGGGGTTCTAGTAGTACATTTAGTCTACTTCAATCCACTGTCATTGGTGTTGTGATACAACAAGCTTGTGTATGAGCTTTTTCAGCACAACATGGCTAAAACTTCTTGGAAAGATGTGGACAAATTAAATGTCAGATAGAATGTGCCTTCTTAAGTTTATACCTGGGGGGGGAATTTCTCCTAAGATGAATCTCATAGTAGGCTGTGGATTTCAAAATGGGCATCTTGAGTTTTACTTAGTGGCAAAATTTTCTGGTGTTTGTCCCCCTTGAACTGGTTGAGAAACCTGCATTAATTGTCTGGTACTAACAGTGATTGGTTGTGTAATTTCTAATATTTAATAAATAAAAAGCAGGGCTTGGCTCACAATTCTAAGTCTGTGTGATGTCTAGCTTTATTACACAAAGTTCAAGGAAATCAGAATCTGCTGTATCTTGATGTACTTTCAGCTTCTGATTTTGTCATTATATAGTTTCCGCTGTATCGTCACCAAAAAGGAAGAAGCGCAAGAAGTATAGGAGTGTTATCTCGGATATATTTGATGGGACTATAATAAGCTCGGTACAGTGCTTAACTTGTGATCGGGTGAGTAAGATGGGGAGGTTCCAGCTTTTAATACAGTATATTTTCCCCAATACAAATACTCATGGCTTTACAAATACAGACATTCTCTGTAACTTTATTCTTATGTGGCAGATTTACACCACCTTTACCCAAAGAGAATAACAGCTACTACCAGCACTTTGTGTTTAAACTAGCTTGCATTCATTGAGCTGGATATTTACTCAGAACTGAAAAAGAACATTTTGAAAATTGTTTTACAGCTTACCAATTTGAAATTTGTTAACAGCAGGGAAAGGTTGATAAGGGCTGTCCTCGGGTATCAGGACACTTTTACAGGTGATATGAATCATGAACTGCTTTCTGAAGGTGTCCTCTACTGCAAGATGTGGTACGACATAGGAACAGTTGAATTTTTTTTTTTTCTGTGCTGTTTGGTCATAGAATTACTTTGATCAGCACGCAGGGTCATTTTAAAACTCAGTTACCTAAATACGTCTAGTGGACCACGTTAGTTTCATAGCAATATTATAAAATATTGGTTGTAAAAATCTCTGCACTTGCAACAAGTTTCTCAACATAAGGTTTAAACCTAACCCTGAAGAAGCTGCATGCCCTTACTGCTTCCTTTGGTTTAGACCTAAGAATACTGAGAGCTCAGGGTAACCTAATAAGCAAATTCAAAAATCAAGTAAGAATGAATTTTTAGTTTGCTTGATGTTTTGCTCTTTGATGCATGATCACTAAATCCAGCATGGGAGAAAGAAAATGCACAGCTGGGTTTCTTTTGCAGTGGGTCCAGTTACATCAGGCCAAGATAATGTTAAAGCAAAATGCTGTCAACAGTGGGCTAAACTTTCCGAAACTAGCTTGTGTAACAGAAGCCTGAGGCAAAAATCGTAGTGCTTTGTATAACTAGTAGGAAGGCAAATGATAACAACTTTAAAAAGTTTTACTGATAGCAGTGTGCAAGTCCACTTTTCTAGAAAATGAATTCTTACATCCCCTTATTTATAATTAATTTGCAGCATAGTGGAATTTGCAACCGTACAGTGACTTTGTAGTTACTGGTGAAGTTTGCAGAATTCAATGTAATTGCTCTTTCTCTTCAAGCTTAACTCTTATTTTGTTTCGTTTGTTTTGTTCTTTAGCTGTCTGTAACCCTGGAGACCTTTCAGGATCTGTCCTTGCCTATTCCAGGTAAGGAAGATCTTGCTAAACTCCATTCTGCAAGTCATCAGACATCTCTAGTCAAGGCAGGGTCATGTGGAGAAGCATATGCCCCTCAGGGATGGATAGCCTTTTTTATGGAGTATTTCAAAAGGTAAATAATATTTGCCTTGTTTTATTTATTTATTCAATTTGAAATTCCAGTTTCTGCTCTTCTGGCAGAACATTTGTTGTTTTTCTTTTTTTTTCTGTCAATGATGTTTCAGGTTTGTTGTCTCATGTGTTCCTAGCTGGTTTTGGGGTCCAGTTGTAACCTTACAAGATTGTCTTGCTGCCTTTTTCGCCAGAGATGAGCTCAAGGGTAAGAGGTTCATTACATGAACATGTTTTTTCAGGTTGGTTTTTTTTTCCTTCTGTCACAATAAGATGATTAATATCTTTTTAGCTTCATGCAATTAAGCAAAGGTTACCTGTTAGACTATAGAGCAAGCCATTCCTTGCTCTTATGGGATCACTCATTTCAAAAAGGTAAGCTTCTTACTCAACTGAATATTTGAGGCAAGAAATGCCCATGAAAGCTGCTTTAGAAATGTCAAGTAAATCTGAATTTAGTGTAATGAAATCATGCCAGCTGAAGGTTCATAAAAATTTCAAAACCCACTATATTGATACTCATTCTCATAACCTTAATTTACACTCAGTAAATTATTTCCCTTTTAAGTGATATAACATCATCTGTTGAGATTATGTTGGCATGCTTCATAGTTGAAAGCATAAAATCTGAGAACCTTTCTATTTAGTTGCTCTCAACACTCTTATGACTTTAAACATTGAACGCAACCCAAACATAAACTTCCTTGAAACTTTTATATGTCAGAGGTATGGGTTTGAAGGTAACTGTTTGGATTTAGAGACTAATGGCTGTTTTTCTTCTCCCTGATATTTGCAGGTGATAACATGTACAGCTGTGGAAGGTGTAAAAAGTAAGCTGGATTTTACCTTTGTTTTAGCTTGTCGTAAATGGAGCACCTTAATGCTTCTGTTAGTGAAGAGGCATGTATTTCTGCTGGATGTCTCACGGTACTATTAATCTCTCGTTCTGGCTGTCAGAAATCTAGTATTACAAAGGTACAGGAGTCAGGCAGCACTGACTCACTGTACCATGTTGTAAACCAAATGTGCTTAAGTCTTTCTTGTGTTCCTTACAATTTTAGAGCTTTCTAAATTGTTTTTGATTGGTGAAATAGAAGATCTTAGCCCGCTATATGACTCACAGATTGTCATGGATATGCAGTAGATCACTTCAGTGTGTTAAAAATAAATAAATATACTATGACTTTAAATACTAAAGAACCAAGGAACGGAAGTGATCTGAGAACTGTTCAAAGCCCTTCATGGAAAAAAGAGTGTTATTCCTTACTGTATAACTGTTGATCTGCTGTATGTCATTTCCTAAAAATAAACTTTGTTTCTTTTTTATCTTTTGCTTAAGCTTTCATGAAGCTTAAAGTTCTTTCCTTATGTTAAGAGAAGCCTATAGCTAGAAGGAACTTGATTATCTGTACTTGATGCTTTGAAATTTTCAGCAGTACAGATTGTATTTTCTTCTGAAGCATCGTTTGTATAATTTTGGCAACTCCATGTCTAGTCTGCATTCCAGAAATATTTTGGGTTTACTCATGTAATGTACAGCTTAGACTTGTGCTGATCAAGCACAATAAAATGTTTTCATAACTAAATGTTGTTTGTTTGTTTTCTTTTTTTTCTTTGCTTAGGTTAAGAAATGGAGTGAAATTCTGCAAAGTGCAAAAATTTCCTGAGGTACTGTTACTACATGCACTTTAAAGCACTTTTTCTGCATGATTAGGAGTGTGGTAAGACTAATGAGTTCCATGGAGTAAATCATGTTTGCAGTGTTATATGATGAAAGCATATCTTCATATTGGCATTTGTTTTAATAATGTGAGCAATGTTTGACTATTTGCCCTGTAAGAAAGTGAACCTTGTATATGAAAAGTAAAGTTAGAAGAATGAGGTTTTTCTATGTTGTTACTGTCAGCCTATAGAACTTATTATACTGCAGTTCACAGAAATAAATACCACAGCCTGACTAGAAATCTTTTCTGTAAGTAATGCTTGTAACTTTACATTTTAAAAGTAATCCAATCTTAGATTTCAAAATACAAGTTGATGACTGCAATAATCAGGAAGAATTAATGTCCCTCGTGACAAGATTATGCAATAGGTGCATTGAAGAAGGAGAAGGTATGTTGTTCATTGCTGCATCAGTGTTAGTAACCATTCAGGACTGTTTTAATACTGTCAGTAAGATAAGTTTTCAAATTGATTTCTAAGTCCTTGAGCCACAACTGATTTTTAAAAAAGTCTTCTGAGGAACACAGAGCTTGTGATGGTTGCCTCATACCATAGGGAAAAGTGATCCTTTGGACATGATAGAAGGAGAAGATGTCATGCACAGTTTAGTTATTAAATATCAAATAGTAGCATGTACACTTCTTGAGGGAATCTGTTGATCCTTCTTACAGATACTGTGCATTCATCTCAAAAGATTCAGACATGAACTTATGTTTTCCACAAAAATTGGGACCCATGTGTCCTTTCCCTTGGAAGGCCTTGATCTTCAGCCCTTCCTTGCAAAGGACAGTCCAGCTCAAATAGTGACTTATGATCTCCTCTCTGTTATCTGCCATCATGGAACCGCCAGCAGTAAGTAACAGGTTGTTTTGTCTTTGCCTTTGATATTCACATCAGCACTTCTGTTGAAGGATGATATCCGTATACTGAAGGGTAAATGGATGAGCATGGTAACAATAATGTGAAAGAATTTGCTATGATTTTTACCTCAATCGCTTGCTCTGAAAGCATTGGCACATCTTTGAAATTGTATGGCATACCTAAATAAAATTGTAGGTGCAAAAACATTAACATATCCTGGAATATTAACTGAAAAACTATATGCACTATTGAAATGGAATAGTATCAATATACAAATAATGTTACGTGGCAGCAGATGATCAGCTGTTCTGTGCATCTGCTGTTTGTCTAGAGTTTTGATGCATTATACTTTTTTGGAAAGAGTTCACAAAGCACCACAAAGATGCCAGTAGTGTTTTGGTTTTTTTTTTAAAAAAAAAAAAGTAGTTCTCTTTGGTGATTGCTGCCAGTTAACCCCAAAGCAGGCAGTAACTGCTATTTATGGGTAGTGATGAGTAGCTGAATAACATCTTTTTGCCATATGTCAAGCTCGTTTTTTGCCTAGGTGCTCTTAGGATTTATGAGATTAGGAAAATAGAATAGTTTGAAGCTAGAAACTTCGTAGATTTTTGTAGAAGTTACTCATCCCATGTTCCCTAAACTTGAGGTATCCGTTGTTTAGATGAAGCTGTTAGCTTTTTTTCTGGATGCTTTATCATCTTCCATTTAGTGCTTGCTGGATGGTGCTTCTTGGAATCAGTTTAGTAGATGTTTGATTGCTTTATTATTAGCAATTGATTATGTATGTAAATCTAGTAATAAATGTTCAAAACAGTTAAGTATGGCCTTGATATCATGTAGCCATTACACATCTATGCTAATTCGTATTATAAAGAATACTAAGATTTGAAGAGAGTTCATTGTGGAAACTGGTTAGGGTAGAATGTTCAGACAGGCTCATTCTGATTTGAATACCATGGTTCAGGAGTACATTAGACAACAGGCTGCTTAAAGAGTTCAGGAATATGTTGAAAGCAGTGTCCAACTTTCCACTAGCTAATATAAATCTAAAAAAAGTAAAAAAAACTCTTACTGGACTTAATTCCTTTTCATATATTGGAGAGTAAACCAGGCAGCTCTGGGCACTTATTAATAACTCTTTCTTCTAACATTCTAGGTGGACATTATATTGCTTATTGCCGCAATAATTTAAATAATCTGTGGTATGAATTTGATGACCAGAGTGTCACAGAAGTATCAGAATCTACAGTGCAAAATGCAGAAGCCTATGTTCTCTTCTACAGGTAGGAAATAAAAAGTATTATCAGACCCATGTAAATCAGGTACATGAATAACTTTTTAAGTGCTTCAGCAGCTTTCAGAAATCAGCTGTCCCACAAGAGTTATAATAGAAGAATTTGACCAACCAGAAAAGCTTATGCTGGAGAGAGACTTAATCCTTCCATTACCTCCTTAACGCTTCCTCTGTCACTGCTATAACATGTATGGAAATTAATATTAAATCTCCATAAATAAGGTGTGGTAAGGTGACTAGTGAGAACTTTCAGCAGCTGCTAGAACTAGGCACCAGCTACGTTGTTTTCAATTAGAGGGAAGGAATTCTGCACAGGGGGAAGTTTTGCACACAGACTTCTAAGTGTTAGAGCTCTAAAGGGAGTTGTTGAAAGTCTTTAGCAGATGGGATGTGGAACAACAGAGGTTTTACTGTGTTGTAATTTCATTGTAGGGGATTTATAGGCTGGTCTTTTCCTGAAAGTTGAAATGAAAGCCAAGAAGTCATGTTATCATCTTCAGTCTATGGAATTTTTGTACTTGAAATAAAAGTAACTTAAGTCAATTTTCAAATTCTAAATTTCTGGTACTAAGATCAAATTCCCACTAAAAGTTAACTGCAGAATAGATCATGTCAGAGCTACACAAAAAATCAGATGTTTTCTGAAAGTATTTTAGCTTTCATTAGGAGCACGCATACCTGCCTCTGTCTGAGCTAAGCCTGTGAGTCTGACTCAGTGGGTCTTTTAAAAGGAATGTGGGTGTTTTGTTGTATTGCCAAGAAAGAGCACTGTACCTGATTGTGGGTAAACATATTAAAATAAATATGAAAGGATAGTATTCATAAAACTTGGTTTTAAAAGAGAATGAACCCACAAAACACAACCACACAAACAAATATAGATGTTCTTTCAGTACATTTTAGAAAGCTTAGTGGAGATACGTACGTTTTTTTAAATTACAGCTGGAAACCAAACTTACCTACTTCAATTTCATTTTCAGACTTCTAAGATTTTTGTTAAGTAGCTTTGATCTGAATTTAAACAAGTAATGTTTTTTAATTGGCTTCACAGCATTTGTTTTTTTCCTACTTTTTTTTGTCTTGTTTTGCTATACTGTAAATAGCCTTGTTGCTATAGCCATTAGGTCTACCTGAAGCTTTACTATAAGCTGTTTGTGTCAGCTTTGGCTCTGTAAATTAACTGAGGTGGCACAGCTCTTTTTGTGGTGCTGAGTCGAGTTTCAGGTCAGTTCTGGCGGACAGAAAGAATGGTTCAAACCTTCTGTAGAAGAGAGATTCTATTAAATTTGAAAACAGGACAGCAGAGATACTTCTAGTTGGACAGTAGCAACAGCCTCAGTGAGGAAAAGTAGGGGGGGATACAAGAATAGGAGGGAAATTATTAGATCTACTCACTTGTGGAGGTAAGTATGGAACATGTGTCCAAGGAGTATGGCTTGCAAAGCTTTAGCTCAAAAGATACATAGAGGGAATGGGCAGAGACTTGTTGTCTTCTCCTGTGGTAGTAATCACCTCTGCAGCACAGTCAGAGTCTCTCGCTCTGCTCTGACTGCTGTCGCCTCTGCAGTCCATCTATTTACTTTCTCAGGCTGATGCTGTCAAGGGTCTTTGAACTAAGTAGGCAAAATCTTCCTTGTAAGCATGATAGCAGCTGTGCCATGGCCTGTCAGAACTAGGGACAAGCATAGGTTTAGCAGAGACAGAGGTCCTTGCTGCCCTTCTGCCCTGTGCTGACTCCTGTGACACACGGTTCTGTAACGTGTCAGTCTCGGTTTCTGCCACACACTCAGATGGTGGCTCTGCTGTGCACAAAAGATGCAAGCTTTTCTGTGTGCTGAGTCAACTAATTCATGCTAATAGAACTTTGAAGTATAGACATGCCTGAAGTAATTTACTTGAAAGTAGAGTTGTCTTTTCACAAAGTAAATTATCTACACTGTACAGAAAGATATCTATTTGTTTAATGATTCCTATTTTGGCAATAGAAAGAGCAGTGAAGAAGCACAGAGAGAGAGACGAAGGATATCGGGTCTGCTGAACATAATGGAACCAAGTCTTCTGCAGTTCTATGTTTCCAAGCAGTGGTTAAATAAATTCAAGACTTTTGCAGAGCCGGGACCAATTTCAAATAATGACTTTCTCTGTATGCATGGAGGTGAGACTGTAGTTGTGTATAAATTAAACATTATTTGTCAACTTGTAGCTATACAGGGATGTACCCTTGTTTTAATTAAAGGAATTTGAATATAGTAAGTTCATTTTATAACTTCTATAACTTCTTAGGTAAATTAGAACTGGAATGTCTAAGTAAATTATCTCATTTTAGCAGCTGGCTAGTGGGAAATGATACTGTGTGAGGTTTTTATTTTTTATTTTTTATTTTTTTTTCTTTCCTCTGGACATTTGATTTTGTTTATAAGCATTCTTGATTCTGGTAGAGGAACAGTTTGTCTTAACTGCATGCTTCCTAAACATATATGTTCCCATTTTTAAAAATCCTACCACTTTATCACCATCTTCAATAATCTGGTCTGCCAATATAAATCTTTTTTTTCCTGCTATGTACTAGAAGCAACAAGGAAGTTTGAAAGCTGCAGAACAAGAGATTGTCCTGATGCAGACAATCTAATGCATAGCAGTGTGAACACAGAGTAGTAATTCCTTATATTTTGTATAGCTGAATAAAAATTTTACTTCATGCTAAATGAAAAATTAGATAATTACATTAAGCAAAACATAATTGGGGAAATACCTGTATCTGAGTGCCAACATTCGAAGAAGTCATTACTAGGTGGTGTGTTTATACCTATTCTTTAATAAAAAAAATACAACTCTATTAGGTCAGCAGTTAAGAGGTGCTGCCCCTGTTGCTGAACCAAACTTTTAAATGTATTTAAAGAAATACTGTGTCCCTGTAGCAATCTGCAGAGTGTGTACACGTGAGCCCTTGTGGCTTTCTGTTCCAGCATATGATTCTTGTACCAAGTGCCTGAACTTACTCGATTTTCACTGCCCAAAACAATTCTTGCACAGAACATTGCTGCTTACCATGTGCGTCAGCTCAGTGCTTTTAATTCTGCTAGCCACCCTGTTTCTGCATCTGTCAAAATTTTGGTTCTTTCCAGCATTCATGTTGTTTGCAGTAATTCAAAAAGGTCTACAGCAAATAAGTAAATTTTGAATACGCAGTTTGTTAATGTGTTTACATGCACAAACAAATTATTTAATCACTCGTTAACATTTTAATTGTGTACATTAAGAAACATTCTGTAAACAGTATCTAAAAAGGATTTTAGCCCTTTAGTTTTAATCTTTCATATAGTTCATTTCTGCTTTTTATAAACTTTCCAGCCTCAAACTTCTTTTCCAGCTTAAAATTAGTGGTCTCTCTAATACCCTAGTCTGGTAAAACTTGGTTCATATGATTTTTCTGAATTCATTGAAAGGTTGTTGGGGTTTCTTTTATTTGTTTGTTTTATTTGGAGACCTCTAACATAGTCTCTTCCCCCCACTAAATCTACAAGTCTCTTTTGTTGCTTCTGCAGGTGTTCCTCCACACAAAGCTAACTTCATAGAGGACTTAGTTGTAATGCTGCCTCAAAATATATGGGATAATCTGTATAGCCGGTAAGTTTTGTACTGTAATTGGAAGAAATCCAGTAGTACGGTTTGAGAGAGCAAATATGCACTAACCAGCAGCATCAGACTTCAGAATTAGTGGCTCAGAAAAATACATTCTAGGCACAAAGTTAAGTGAAAGAATTATAAATAGCTGATTTACTTTGCTTGTGCAAAGTAATGCTAAAAGCCTACATAAAATAGTGTCTTACCAGAGTATTAAACCAATAAACACGTATGGTATGTACAAAATTACACAAAGTAGGTCAGCAAAAGTACACTTTGGAAGAGGTATTTTGAAAGAGCTCTCTGTGTCAGCTTCCTGTTCTCTGTTGGCTGGAGACAACTTTTCTTTTATGCTGGCTTTGAATCCATAGCTTCAGCTGCCAGTACTGCTTCAAAATAACTTATATCTCAGCATTCCATACAACTACTCCACACTTCTTAATGTAGGTCAGGTTTAAGTGCTTGCTTATAAAGGAGAGATTCTTACAACTTGTATCTCCTTTTAAAGTAAGAAAAAAAAAAAATGCAGAAGAGCTTTGCTGTTGACCTTGAGGACTTTGTATTGCACTTGCATTCAATATTTTTAGCTGTTAACTTCCTGCCACCTAAGCACAGCTAAAGGGTTGGAGTTTTTTTTGTTTTAGAGTTTCAGTGGACAGAAGTGAAAAATTGAAACAATACTATTTCCAGCTTATTTCCACTTTCCTAGATGTATTCCTTTTTCTTCCAGCTGACAAAGACATTATAGGTTTTCTGTATGCAGGAATGTTTGTTAAATCTGAAGGAAAATATTTTTAAACTTCTCATTGCTGTCTCTTCACTGTAATCTTTTAAAACAAGATGTCAAACTTCAATCATGTAATGGAAGTTTAGACATCACAGAGATTATAGGGTCCTCCAGATTTTGGGAGTAATGCATTAGGTAGAAAAGAGGTATGAACTGTCATTGCTAAACGTCTGTCTCTTTGGTCTGCCTACCTGATATTTTACTTTTTGTCCTGCTGTTAACTGGGAATTATGGGAGAGTACTGTGGCTGCAGTGGTTGAAAAAGCCAAAAATGGTGGAAGTGGCTTTTACTGACACGGTATTAAGGAAAAAGAGAGATTCATCTAGCATGTGAAGTGACAATCCATGTCCCAAACACATTTATTTTGCTTCACGTGTGACACTACTCCTGTTCAATTCCAAATACTTTGGCACAAGAGTTGCTTTGAGACCATGCAGTATAATCCATACTTGTCCTATTTAGTATAAAAGCTTGTGAACTGATCAGTGCACTCCAAAGACAAGGTGTTGTCTTCAGAGGTGCAATTTAAGTGGTAGGTGACCATTGCATGAAACATCTTTGTTAAGTTGGGATGATTGATACACTGAAAAACTTCAATGTACAAGTGATGTTGTACTGAAATAATACTTAATTTTCAGTTAAAATACCACAATTCAAGGGGGGGAGAAGAAATGTCCCAAATTACTTTTATGGACTGAAAGTAATTAAAAAAATTATAATCTGAAAGGGAAAAGGCAATGTCTTCAATAGAAAATTTTTGTTTAATTTTATTCACTAAGGAAACAGTTATTTTTCAGCTTTCTTACAGATTTTCATATTGTGAGCTTTAATTCATGTTACTATATTTAAGAGCACTCTCTTTTATATCATTTAATGTAAGACTTTTTGGAATAAAATCTGAAGTTTTAGAAGCAAAATTGGAGGAGAATGCAGCTCTGAAAAAATGATTACTCAACAAGGAAGTAGAACCTGGACTATCCTTATCTCAATATGTATTTTAACCTGATGTTCCTGTTGTAGTGAGTGCAACTCTTAAGGCTACTAGTTGTTCAAGAATATTTTATCAAGCTTTTAGTTTCCAGGCGAGCAAATGCTGCACATGTTTGTAATTATACATGAAAATCTGTGTGTGTGTGTGTTTATGTATCTTTTGGGCTTGTCAGCAAGAGTGCCCCTGAAGACATGTATGCAGTTTCACACAAGGAATACAGTGGGAGGGTCATGGAGAACAACTTTTTAAGGACGAAACAATAAACAAGTTTAGAGGCTGGTGTCAGGGAGGTAGCAAACTGATGAGGAACCTGCACTGGAATGCAAGAACATGCTTAAGGAAGAACTGGCTGGAACAATTTTCATAGCCTGTTTCTTAGAGGCCTTTAATAAAATCACACATGGAGTGTCTGTATAACAGTATACTTGGTCCCTGACGTGTACATCTGTAGTAACACCTTTTGAAGTATATGATACATCGGAGTTGGAGATGGTTTGTACTGGCATTGGGCAGTGAGAACTTTGAAGATTGTTTTATCTTAGGATGGAATACAAAAAGTTACTGGGAAAATAAATTGTGTCTTGGTGTGGCTTGCATGTATTGGGCTTCTGTTACATATTATAAGAAGCTGACACTTGTGATGTCTACAGGTGCATGATCTTTTTATATGGCATTTTCCACAAGGTTAATTTTCTTTTACTGCAGGTATGGAGGAGGACCAGCTGTTAACCATCTGTATGTTTGTCACACCTGCCAAATAGAGTCTGAAAGAATTGAAAAAAGAAGGAAAAATGAACTGGAAATGTTTATTCGGGTAAAAAAGTAAACGCTTATTCAGTTCTGCTTTTTGACATCACCTGCTACTCCTGGTGTCACTCAAGGGCTCACCAAAAGCACATAGGTGATGCCTGTAACAAATGGACCTCTATACCTATACAGTATCTCTTCTTTCCTGTTGGCAACAGTAATGCTCTTGTGATATGCCAGATAACTGTTTACATGGAAATGTACTTACAGAAAATATTTAATATATTTCTTAAATTGTTTTTTGTAGTGTATATAGTATAGCCACATAAGCAGCTGCTCTTTGTACGCTGCCAGTGATCTGTTCTGTGAAGCGTGATAAAATTTTATAAATAAAAATGAATTTTTTAATTAAAATAATT